TAAAATATTTATAAGAAGTAGATGAAAAAATAAAGTGATACTTACAATAGCTCTTTTATGTAATTTTGTCTCTAAAGATACTTATTTTATAGCCTTAATACTTTTGAGATTAATGATAGAGAGAAGATCATAGTTCATGTAATATTTATTCACATATATAACTAAGTAACTTATGATAGATTTAAGGTTCTTATAAAGCTTAGAAAATGCATTCACATTTAATAACACGTATATCTGTATTTATAGGTTTCTACAAAACATGGAACAACCAATTTCAGATTTCAATTAATCAATCTATTTAGAATCTATTGTAACAGAAAATTCAGGATCAAGTTAGAGTAGACAAAATTCCTCAGAAAAATCAAGAAAACTGTTATATACTAAAGAAGAAGTTCAAATCCTATAGGAGGCAGAAACACATATTTATGGACTTAATCATATATATATAATATTTTTTAATATAGCAAATAATTAGTAAGGAGAAAACTTATTGATCAAGTAAATAGTCTATATAAAGATTGTAATTGGATCAATATCTAAAGTCAAACTAGAACAATTCTGAATTGATAACATTATCCTACGATAATAAGAAAAGCAGATCCAACTGATTGATAAAATATCTTTGATAAACAATACACAAAACTCAAGTATTGAACAGCATGGAGTATCTTCTGTTCTAACTATTGGAAGGCCTTAGTAAAAGGGGAAACCTATAGGCTACTCTAAAGAACTAAAATATCAGATCTAAAATAAAAAAAATTTTGATGGCCTGATAATCAATAAGCTCTTAATAAAAAATTATACTAGAAATTATCAAGAAGAAATTCCATAATTTTCCAATAAGATAGTATTTATACATATAGTATAAGTCTATATAACTAGCTAATATAAATAGATTGTTAAGGATAGTTAATATACAGTATATAATACTTATTTAATATATATATGATATAATTGAAGTGGTTTATTGAACTAAGATAAACAAAAAAATAGATAAAATATACAATATAGTTATTAAGTAGATTAAAAATTGAAGAACTTAAGTTTAAAATAATATAAATAAAGTTAAATAGAGATTGTAGAATTGTGAAATAAAACAAAAACCTTTTGAAGAGTTTTGAATTGTATTTCTTTTTCTCTCTTCCAGTATTATTTATACAATTTATCATTTTTCAAAATAATTAATAGTGACAAACTGTTAATGATGATTCCAGTAATTAGAGATCTTAACCAAACTACTGAAAAAATATAATATTGTTTCCTAAATTCGACTTAGAGTATCTAGTTTAAACTTAATTTTGTTTAATTCAAACTAGTTTAATAAACTTCTTATATTTTTTAAGTAGTATAGTTTTTTAACTAATAATGTACAACAATGAGTTAATCACTTTGTAAATAGTCTATAAAACTTTGTAATATTTTTCAATATCTCAATAAAGATACACCATAGTAGCATGATTGTGAGTTAAAAAAAAAAAAAAAAAAAAATTATCATTAAAAGCAAGTTAAAAGTAAACATGTTCCTAAAATAAAAATTTCTAGTAAATAATAAATCTTCTTAGATGATGCATGAGAAAAATCAAGATCACAAATAGTATCTCTTTTAATATTCTTTCTAATTTTTACTATTGGTATCAAAACTATTAAATTTATAGAGGTTTAAAAAATTATTACGTTGCACATTAGCAAAAAAAAAATATATTACGTTGCACATTAAAAAAAAAAACAATCTTTAATCATGATTTTAATTACATTGTTAACAATTTATTCGAAATTACATTTGCTAAATTCATATTTTAAAAGATTAAAGTGAAAAAACCACATTACCATGTTTGCTGTCATATTTTAGTTAAAAATTTTTTGAAAAATACCAATAAAGAAGCGTTTTTATTAAAATATCATGTGGTGTTTTTATTTGGGAAAATTCAAAACTTATTTTTTTCTCTGAAGATGTTCAGGAAGTAATAGTTGAGAATGTTTGTTTCTTTCTTCGGAAACTGGACTGTCGCTAGAATTTGAGCTGATTGAACCCCGACTTTTTTGGTGCCTTCTATTTCTACGGTCGTCCAATTCGCTGTCGCTGGTGTCATCTCGTCTCTTTCTTTTATAGACGCTACTCTTACGCTCGTCAACTTCAGACGAAGAGTCAACGTCAGAAGAACGATTTCTGTGATAGCGAGGAAGATGATCCGATTCTTCTACACGCCTTTGCGAAACCCGATCTTGAGGTGGAGATCTGTCGTCAGCTTCATCGTACCGGTATTGTTTTAATGA